TCTCTTGTGATTATACGATGAACATTTGGGCACAATCCAACCTTCCAATCCCCAATAGTGCCACAAGTATTTTCAGTGATTGGTTTAAAGATTTGTTGAATATTTTAGATGATGATGAAATATTCTATGCAGTGGCTATCTTGTATTTCATATGGCGAACGAGAAATGGAGCCGTGTGGGAAGCAAAGTTGCCCAGACCCCAGAACGTGATAGCAATGGCGTTGTCCTCGGTCAATGCATGGAAACACACGCACCCCGCACGACGAAATCGGCAAGCCGCCACCACCACGCCGGCTGCAATGTTACTGCCGATTTCGGCAGTCTACGGCCAGACCCATGGCGCGGCAGTTTTGGGGGAAGGAGAAGCCGGAACGCAGCCAGCATCACAACAAAATTCAGCAATTGCCCAGCACGATATTGCACACAGCGGGAGGAATCGATGTTATTTCGATGCGACGTACGATCCCACAACAAACAAGGCAACAATGGGGGCTATTATATTAAATCCACAAGGATTCTATGTGGCGTCGATGGCCACCCCTGTCATACATTGTTTTACACCCTTAATGGCGGAAGCTCTCGCTTGCAAGGAAGCTTTGTCATGGCTCAGACAACGACAGGAAACTGATATAGACCTCTACACGGATTGTTTGGTGCTACAACAATATCTTTCGTCTACAACACACTCGTTGCGCTCTTATGTGGGCTATGCCATTGATAGTTGCAAAACTAGTATGGCATCTTTTGATTACTGCTTGATTCACTATGTTCCTAGACTAGACAATTATTTGGCACATACATTAGCTACTTCTGCAATTAATCAGCTCTCTAGTATGTACGCGGACGTAACCCCGCCAGACTCTATTTCAGCATATTTCGAATAAATGCCGCACAGGCTCCTTTCAAAAAAAATATGCAAACATGAATAGATACTGCATTGTAATAAAGTTAATAGTACTCGCAAAAATATACAAATTTGGTAAATTTTATAAAATCAACAAAAATACTAAATTGTAAACCCAAATAGTAAAAGGTGAACCACTAAATCAAATAAAACCAAAAGCTTAGTAAACTTTAAAACCAAAACCCTAAGTACAATGCACTTTCACATTTTTACAAGTGCAATATTTTAATACTAAATATGCAAAATGCCAAAATGTGCAAAATGTTAATACTAAATGTGCAAATCTATAAAAGTCTCAGAATTGCATATTTTATTGTTCAAGTTTGCATAGTAAAGTTGGCGAAATTTACGAAAATATCACCATTTTTTTTAATTTGATCTGATCCGTCCCATTTTTTCAGATTTAAGACTGAGATTGATTTTTATTTCTCTCCTAAGGACTTGTTCTCAGATCATTTTATCCCATACACACACATATATAGACATAATCAAATGAGAACATGGTCCTCTTGTAAAAATTTAAATAACTAACTTCAGTTGTCCATCTGGTTTCATCAATGGTTGAAGGTTTTACTAAAAAAAATACAAATCAATTTTATAATTATTGAAAACTTTTAAGAGCAGGGTTCATATTATAATTACTGTAAATTGAAAGTTTGAAATAATAATAACATCATAGATTTTGATTTCTCAATATTAAATGTGTCTATACTTTTTACAGGGAATTGAAAGTGTTTTCACGGTCCTAAATTGCTATATATATATATATATATATATATATATATATATATATATATATATATATATATATAGTTTTGTTCACATCAACATATTGATCTTAAACAAAAGTACAGTATTAATCCGTATATTCTTGCATGGATAACAAGTACATTAATATTAGCTACTCGACTAATACATATAGTACCCACCACCCAAATTAATTTAATTTATATTAGGGTTGTAGCAGCCATGAAATTGACTCTCACTTCCAAAAATGTTGCATCAAAAAATTTATCCATTAATCACTATTCACGCCCCATCTATGCAATTTTCTCCCCACATTCAAAAGTGCTCAAACTTCCGCATCACCCTAAAAAAGTTATTTTTTATATCAATAAAAAATTCGTTTATACAATTAATCTCTTATATGGAGAATTAATATATAAATTAATTTAAGATATTGAAAAAGAATAAAAAAAATTTATCATTTCATCAAATTATTTTACAAAATTTTAAATAAAATAATTAATATTTATGCAAATATATATTTAGAAAAAATTGTACTTCTTCTCAAAAAAAAATTGTACTACGTAAAAATTTAAAATAAATATTATTTAGAATTTAAAATTTAAAAAATAAAATTAATTCAAATGTAAAACTCAAAATAGATTAAAATTATTAAAATTTAAAAGTCAAATACATAATAATATTATATATTATTTTAATTACATGCTAATTAATTTTAATTTGAATTATTAACAAAGAAGTAATAAATTAATAATAATAATAATAACAACAACAACAACAACAACAACAATAATAATAATAATAATAATAATAATTGTACAATTGAAATTCTAACACTAGAATTGCAAAATTTATAATTCTGGTGTGTCAAACTTGCAACAAGTAGGCTTTAAAAAAAAATGTTGGATTGCAAGACATGTTCTTGCAAGGCTGCGAACAGCCTGCAGAGAAGCATATATTATTGCATGAGAAAAGCTTTTTGAGTACTTTGTGAATAAAATATATAAATAATAAATATAGAAAGAGTTAAATAAGTGTTCAAATTATTTTAAAAATTTTAGGAAAAAAAGTCAAATAAGCTATCGAGTTACACACAAAACTGCAATTAAGTCATCAATTTTTTTTAAACAAAATTGTAATCGAGTACCTGAACTGTGCAAAATCATGCAATTGAACCTAAAATGACCTATTCACATGGCATTCGCTCGCTGATGTTGCAGTTATCAGATTTAAAAATTATTTTAAATAAAATAAAATTAAAAATCCACCCCCCAAATCCATCCCGCCATCCTCTCTGCCAGAGATGAAGAAATCATTTTACATTGTTCATGGACTCGGTTGTAATTTTTTGAGTTGAATTACTCAATTGCAATTCCTGTGTACTTCAATAGTTTATTTGACCCTTATTCTAAAAGTTGTATTGCATTCTAAAATCTTATATATAAACTCTCAAATTTGAAATTAAAAAAAAAAAAAGTACAATTAGCCATTTTTAACAAGTTACCTCAACTTGTTGAGTCGACATTCACGTGTATAATTATAACTAGCATTTTGTACGCACGATACACAAAAATTCACACCCAATAATATTAAAACATTGATAAATATATATAAATAATTAAAAATTATAGTTCAAATTATATATACGCAAATAATATATGTATTATATACACACACATACATATGATTTACCATTCATAGAATTTTAATTAAAATATAATCAACAATTGAATTAATTATATAATGATAATTAAATAATATGAAAAAGATATGATAGATATAAGTGTATGACAATAATGATGGAGTCATCAATGTTAGAAGTAAATAGTAATTGAGTTATAACGGTATAAATATAGTTTTGTCTAACAAGAATGTAGTAGGGACAATTTTGTCTAATAAAATTGAAGCTTACAACATTTAAAGTAAAATCTATACCTTTATTAGCATACAATAAACAGACATAAATCAATGATATAACTTGGATCGAGACTTATTATATTTTTAGGTTAGATAATAATAATAATAATAATAATAATAATAATAATAATAGTAATAATAATAATAATAATAATAATAATAATAATAATAATAATAATTATTATTATTATTATTATTAATAATAATAATAATTATTATTATTATTATTATTATTATTATTATTATTATTATTATTATTATTATTATTATTATGCCATAGTATGAATCTAATCATTCAATTATAATCATGCCAACTATCATGTAGTGTGATGGCATCCCGGTTACCATTCCGAATGGATGAGTTGAAAATGTTTGAAAAAGTATAGAATAGAATCATGATTATTTCAAACAAAAATTATAAATTTAATTAAATGTAATAAATTTTAAGATTTTATTTCATTTTTAATTATTTGAGTTATGACATTTTCACTTTTTATATTTAACTTTAATTTGTTTTACTTTTAATTCAAAATATATAAATACTCTAACTTTTGAAATTTAAACAAACTCATTTAAGAGCATTTTGTAATCCAATAAAAATTGTCACTAATGTTAATAGCGACTAAGGATTCTTTAAAACTTTATTTTACTATATAAAACTATATATAGACTTAGAGCATTTTGAACTATTGTATAATATTGTTTGAAGTTAATTAAGGACAATAAAATGAGAGCAGGTATATAGTTATAATTGGGTGAAGTACGTTAAATAAACTTAAATTTTGAAATGCAAAATTTCCTAGAGTGTTAGTGAACCTGAGTGCAACAGTGAATTAAGTAACTTATCTTAAAAGGTAAAATTGTCATTTTTTGTTACACATTTTTAAAAATAAAAATTTAGTCACCAGTTACTACAAATTAGATGGAAGAACCAATGTGACAATGTTTTAAACTAGAGAGACTAATTTAAGTGTGGAAAAATTAATAGTCAGTAACTAAATGTGAAAAGAGTTTTTCGCACTCTTGGTCCCACGATTATAGTGACACTATCAGGATTAATCCATGACTTTCAAACCTTGCAATCTCGGTCCAGGACTATTGTTTTTTTTTGCAAAAAATGGTCCTCCGGCCATTTTTCATCAATTTCTCACCGGAGTAATAACCGCTTCCGGCCAAAACGGGCCGAAAAATTGACGAAAAATGGACCGAAAGGACCATTTTGCCCAAAAAAAAAAAAAACAATTGTCGTGAACCGAAATTGCAAGGTTTGAAAGTCGTGAATCGTGTCAGTGTGTCACTATAGTCATGGGACAAAAAATGTGAAAATGATCCAATAGTTGTAATTTGAAATAGGAGAAGAATTGTAGTACATATATATAGTATAAAAAGGGAGAGGCTTTGAGCGTTTAAGTATGGTGAGTTGCATTGAGTTTCAGTTTTCCAAGAAACCAGTCACGTACTGATAGCTGCAGCATAGCAGTAGCCGCCGTGATTAGGCACACCAAATATCAGCCATTCCATCTTTACGCTTACTTGCTCCCTCCCTCCCTCTCTCCCTCTTTACTTTACTTTATCATTCACAATAAACTTAAACTCCATAACTCACCCGCCAGATCACTGAATTGAAAACCTTCAATTCAATTCGTTCAAACCAAAAAAAAAAAACTCTGATAATCGATCTGTCTTTCTCCATTGTTACGTTCCTCAGGTAACCACAAAAATCTAATCTATTTTGCTCTTTATTTGGATATATATGGTATACTGTACTGCATATACATATATAATCATATATGAATATGTATAGAATATGTATAGTACCAATATATATGTTTTAATTTAATAATGGCCAAATTTCTGTTTTTGTTTCAATATAATTTTTATTGTTTCCTGATTCATAATTTCATATATGCTGCGTTATTGGAAATGTGAAGTAGTTTAATTAATTAACTCATAATGACCTAGCTAGCTAGCTTTCCGGCGATCGAGCTGAGATCAGATCAGATTATCGGAATGGATTTTATGAGCTACGCTTTTGAAGGAAGCAGTGGCGGCGGTGTTGAATTAGCAGCAGAAAATGGAAGACTTGTTGTGAATGAAAGGAACTTAAAGTCGTCATTATTTTCTCATCATCAGATTGATGACAATGAAAGCCCTAATCATCATGAAGCCGCGGAGTTTATGGAATTCTGTTTGCCGCCGCCGCCTGTTGTATGTGTTGATCCTGCAATGGTGCTGTCGTCGTCGTCGTCTCATCCGCCTGTAACGGCGGTTTTTGGCCGGATTCCGGCGGCACCGGACATGGAAGTTGAAGAACAAGCTTGCAATTGGCTTCCCCGCTATCACACATCGTCGTTCAATTTGAGATCAGAACAAACCGATGATCAATCCTTGTTTAAAGGAAATTTTGAATCTGCAGCGGCGGCTATTCCGGTGAACAACAAGAGGTTAGTTGATTGCCAGAAAGCGATGAAGAGCGGTCAAAATTCTTCAAAAGAAAAATTATTGGGGGATTTATCGTCATCAATGGAAGCTGCTACTGGAGAAGCTTCATCGGCAACATTAGTGAGAAGGGCGAGAATCACAAATAATTTGAGCAGTTCCCTGCAACACCCTCCTATCTGCCAAGTTCATGGTTGTTTCAGAGACTTGAGCTCCTCAAAAGACTATTACAGAAGGCATCGAGTCTGTAATGACCACTCCAAAACTACAAAAGTCATTGTTGATGGCATTGAACAGCGGTTTTGCCAGCAATGTAGCAGGTAATTAATTCATTAACATATATAGATCACCATTCATTCACATCCATCTCACCTTCAAATGTTTAAATGTTTTGATTTCTATAAACTATAATTTATTGGCAAAAACTTGTGTGCAATACTGCAATGACACTGTCTTAGGGATTATTGGTCGTGAGAAGATGAAGATGTAATACTTATACAAAAAAATGTAGTAATATTACTCAGAAATAAAGTGTTTAATATTATTACTTATGAAAACGTGTAATACTTTTTAAAAAAAATATAATACTTTTATATTTTTTCTCATAAGTATTATTATTACATTTTCTCTTATAAGTAACTAACATTTGCCAACATTACTATAAGTAACAAACACTTTATTCCTTATTAGTATTAAATTTTTTAAGTATAAATATTATATTTCCATATCAATCCGACCTTACCCGAACAGTCTCACAAATAAGGATCATTTGAGACCCTCTTACACAAATGTGACACTAATTCTTTATTTATTAAAGACGATGAAGTTATTGATTATTTTTGCATTTAGGTAACCATCTATAATTTTTTTTTTTCATGATTATTATTGTGTATGTAAAATTGTTAAAAACTTGTGAATCTTATTTTATCTTTTTTTATGTAATTTACATTTTAGTTATGAAAATATATATTAATTTCATGTTGGACTTTTTTTTTTTTTTTTTGTTATGTCCTCGAGCCTATAAATTGATACAACCGGGCTGGCACACAACTTTTTTTTTTTTTGGGGTTTAATCAATCTAGCTCCATGTTTTCATCATAATTCATACGATTTTTCTATTTTACTTCCAACCATTTATCATTTATGTATTGATTATGTATAAGAATCATAGAAGAAGGATCGCATTAATTATTTTAGAAATCCAACTTCAATTGTAAGTGTGGTGTGGCTTGATCTATCTGCTATGTTCTCAAATCATCATTATAATTTATATTGAGTAGTAATATAAAGTGGTACGGACTATACAATCAACACGAAATTGCATATAGTTACGTTACTTATTTTTAATTTTAACGTGACAGCATTGAATGTTCTTCAGCGTGAGTTCAAGGCAAGTACTATTACTAATATAATATTCTTGACTGCATGCATGCACTTGCAATATAATGGCCTCTAATTATATTGTACAGGTTTCATTTGCTGTCAGAATTTGATGATGATAAACGAAGTTGTCGCAAGAGCCTTGCAGGCCACAATGAACGCCGACGAAAGCCTCAATTTGATACTCACCATGGTAAAATAATTTCCTGTTCATCATATAAATTTCTAATCACTCTATTTCTTTGTTTAGTTTGATTGGTTGTCACTGAAGAATGTATGCGTTTTAGTTTCATGGGTTCAAGTAGAAGTTTTGTATGCATAATGCTAGTTAGGCGGAAGTCAGTGAAGGGACAAATCCAACACCGATAGCTACGGATCGTTGGGCAGAGGCCTGAAGTTAAGGGCCAAGTCCAGCACGCTGCTTCTCGAAAATTTGGTGGTATATAAGAAAATAAAGTTGCATTTCGCTACTAGCTATGTTGTATGGTGTAGGGATATTTAGTTGATTTTAGTTCCTGTTGGGCGGAGACTTGAATGACCAAGTTCAACACCATCATGTGCCTAGGAGATTATTGGATGGAGGTCTAAAGAGTCAAGTCCAGCACCTTGCTTTTCAACTGTGCAGTTAATTAAGGCTGGTGTTGGGGAAATTGTTAAGTAGAGGCATAAATGACAAATTATGACCGGGTCTATCTTAGCTTGCATTATGGACCCTGGTCCAAAAATAACATTTAGATTTTGTACATGCAGTAACATTATGTACCTGTAAACAATTTAAAGACACATCATATCACATCACATGATAATTATAGACATATAACATGATAACTACAAATACATAAACTGTTAACTGTACAGACTATGTTAACTGCAAACACATAACATGATACGTGATCATATTCTGCAGTTAACATGCAACTTTCATGCATGGCAGGTCCAAGGTTCTTTGATATGATGACCACCTTGCAGACAGAGCCATATCTTTTACCAGAATTACTTCCTGTCAATTACTTTTGTCAAGACCTAGAGAACACTAGCAACTGCAGGTCCACCAAAATGGAGGAGAAGCACATCTCTTTCTCCAAGTTAGGAGTGCAAAAAAAGTCCAAAAAACTCCCAGAAATCCCTGCCGCAGCTGCAAACATTCTAACTTCCGATTGGGATCTCAGCAATAATAACCCTTCGGCGGCGGGCATAACAACTCCTCTAAGGTGCTTCACATCAAACCAGTTGTGCTCTGGAGTCCTTGAAATGGAAGGCTATGATGCTGTTGATGATGGCAACATGATGAGCGTTTATTATGAAGCTGAAATGGATGAAAACTCTGAATCTGCAGAAAATGGTACGACCATTGATTTGGAGCAGTTGTCAACCCATCTCCAAAGGGTGGAACACCAAAGAAATTTATCTGCTCCTCAAACCAAGGTGCAGGAGAGTAATCTCTTCTACTGCTTTACTAGCGGGTAACGTAACCTACCTATCATGATTTTGGATTTGGAATGTCTATTTTTACTCTAAAAGCACACATGCATGTATGTTTTGGTATAGATGAGCTCAACATATATAACCCTTATGTATACCAGTTGGAAAATTTACTATGGCATCAAACACTCATCTAGCTAGATGCCTATACTAAGAGAAGAAATTAAGGGCATTATACTAGTAGGCATGAATACAAGTTAGGTAAGTGTATTCTTTGATTTGTTGATTCCTATTATATTTTGTATATCATCATTTGATCATATACATATACAAAGGATAAAATACATACTATGAAGTATGGGCCGGGATGTCATGCTTTATTTTGTAATAATTTGCAAAATGTACCTTTGTCCATGAGCAGCTTTATGTGAAGAGTATATATATATATATATATATATATGGTATCATTTCCACCCTCTTTTCGGTCATGTTTTAATAATTTGCAAAATGTAATACCTTTGTCCATGAGCAGCTTAATGTGAAGAGTATATATGGTATCATTTCCATGCACACTCTTTTGGGTCATGTTTTATCTTGTTGAGTACAAATATATGAATGGCCAAATCCATGCCAGCATCTTGCCTTTTGAAATGTGGTATTGTGGCTATTATGCAAGTTTTAAAAAATAAAGTTGTCTTAGTATTTGATCCCAACAAGTGTTAAATTGTGAAATTAAGGATGACATGTGTGGGGGTTGGATGGGGGGGGGGGGGTTAATTGGTAGAGGCCTAAATGCGCAAGTAGTATAACACCAAGTGGCTAGGGTACTGCTGGGCGGAGCCCTGAAGGGCGAAGGGCCAAGTGCAACACCAGGTGGCTAGGAGGATTGTTGAACGCATGGTCAGATTTTAGTGCGTGCAACTGTGCAAGATGGACAACAACACATTGCCTCAATTTTTAGAGGACTTAATATTTATTTTTGACTTAGCTATTTAAGAAATAAAAAAAATCAACAATTAATTCTAAAACTCACCAGTTTTATTCCAACTCACTCATCTCTCATAATAATTAGGACATAATTAATTGAGCATGACAAAACCATTATGTTTCCCTAACAGCACACATGATGTCTCAAGTCCTGAATTTGTAGAGATTACTTGAAACATGTACCATTTACCACTAATAATAATCACCATTCACCATTAAAGATTGCACTTATACTTTTAGTAGGACCTCATTTATTAAGAACGGGATCACTAAAATCTAAAAACCGGTCCTCGTTGAGCGGAGGCTTAATTGAAAGGCATGATTGTTAAACAAATATAAAGACATAAAATTGTACATTCGCTACTAGTTATACATTTTTTTTTTGGTAGTAGTAAATTATTGATCCTAACAATATCAAACAATAAATGAGCATTCACACTATTAATTTAGGATCAAGCCACGCGTGACGCGCCTATATATAATATATTTAGCACTCACAAAAGGTCACTCCTTTAATTTATATGACAATTGTATGTTTGGGTTTTTTATCGGTAAATATAAAAATTTATTAAATACTCAATAACAACTACTATACAATGAACATATTCTGGAAAGTTCAAAACAACCAAATCAACAAATCGCAATCTCAAAGCCATTAGCCATGATGTAAAAGGAAGGGGCGAACTTTGCCAACTCCGATCCGGATTTAGAAAAAACAAAAAAAAAAAACAAACAAACAAACAAACAAACACTAAAGCATGCATTAGGAAACCACTAATAACTAAGAACCCCTCCACCTGCGCGTCTTTGTGGCGCGTGTACATGCGCTTTTCCGAATTATTTCCGACGAGACAGTTTTCTCCAAAGATAAATCTCTTCCTCTCATTAATGATTTTTTTTTTTTCCTTTTCTCCCATTTTTTCCTCCACTTATCTTCATGATTTGAGATGCCTTTACAAAAATGATGTAAAATAAAATATACATAGAATTATAAGTAAGTTAATTTTTAATATTTTTATTAAGTTTTAAAAAATTATATTAATATATTAATAAGTTTATTACAAAATAAACTATTTGTATGAAAATAAATAATGGAAAATAGAAAACTTACTATAGAATATTATATTACAGTATAAGTATATTAATTGTTTTTAGTTAAAATTTAAAAATGTAGTGGTTTTGCTAGATTTTAAATGATATATAAGTTTATATTTATTAATTAATGTAACTAATTTATTAAAAGTAAAAGTTTAGATTATCAATTTGAAAATATCAAAAGTTTTAGTTGAGTTCCTCAGATAAGCTTAACAATCCGATCGAGGTTTAATTTATAATACCTTTACCAACTATAGGGGAGTGTCCAGCTAAAATGTCACTTAACCACTAGCATATCTCACTTCTAGTAAATGACAACTAAAACTAGGATTGAGAAAGCCTTTACACATTAAACCATTGGTTTGGTTGGGTTATGTCATCGCTTAACTGCTAATGTCTATGTTGGTCAACAGAGAAAAGACTATAAGAAAAGCAAAATGTGTTGAATATAAACTATAGAGTACTTTATATGAAATTAATTAATGATCTTAATCGAAATATTATCCACTGAAGGGGGAGAGCCATGAAAAACATCATTCTTTTTACTCAAAATACAATAGATGGAACATATAAAGTTAGAGTAGTTGCCTTATCATTGATCCTAGAGCCACAATCCCCCCCCCCCCCCCCCCCCCTCCCCCTCAACGCTCAATTTAATTACATTACGGATAGATGTTCTTTTTTACATACGTACTATTTTGTACATATTGTGAATATTCTTATTGCAAACTATAGTTTTTTTTTTTTTTTTTTTTGAGAAATGCAAACTATAGTTTTTTGACATATGATTTATTAAATTAATTTACAAGTGATTTATTAAACTTTTATTATTCATTATGTTTTTTTTTTTAATTTTTTAAAATAATGTTTGTATATAATAATGATATATTTGAGATTTTAAAGATTTCAAAACTTACATGACAAAAACATATTATATAATTAATTTTTTTAGGTAATATAATTCTTATGTTTTCAAGGTAACACTAAACATATTAATAGATTTTTATTTTTTATTTTTGTAAAATTATTCCAATCAAATGCATTCATTTAAAATATTTTCTTAATAATTTAATTGATGAGAACATACCAATCGCACTATAAGAAAATTGTAAGTAGTTATATTTTAAAAAAAAAAATTACACTTTTGATTTTGTAATCAATTTTTTTTTTTTTCGCAATGTAAAACGTCAATTTTTCTCAAATTGTTAATTTGATCCCTTAATTGTTCACCAATTTTGTCAAGGGGAGGGACCACATGAACAACTTAAGCAAACAATTAAAAATTATATTTACTTACTTTAAGAATTAAAAGACCATATTTTATATTTTAAAATAAAAAATAATAGAGGGATCAAATTATACACTGTTTTTTTTTTTTTCTTAAATAAGATTTAGTGGTGAGGGGAGGATTAAATAGATATTTAAGTTAATGTCAACGATGTGATGCTTCGTTCGGACTGCTTGAACCTTTATCATTACCTTTTTTTGCATTCGCTTAGTATTCGTTCGTATAATGGTTTAGTTCTTTCAGATTGTAGGCGTTTGATGTGTTCTTTTGATTCTTGCTCTATTTCTTTTGTTTCCCGGGCTTTAAACCGGATAGCACATTCTTTAGTTTATGAAGATCTTACACAAACACATTCGATGTATTGGGAGTCAGTACCTCTTGAATTTGTTTCTGATTTGCTCAATTAATATAGCAGCTTTTAAATTAAAAAAAAAAAAAGAAAGAAGATATTTAAGTTAATGACCTTGGGTTCTAATGACACAAAATGACTTTCTCAAATAGGAAGTTATGGGTTAGATTCTTAGTGAGGGCGGTATTAGCTCTTTGTATTTCAGTAAATTGATAAAGTAGTTATGAACTGATATTACATTATAACAGAATTAATAGGATTAAAAAAAAAAAAAAAAGATATTTAAAACATTGAAAATGGAAAATAACGGAAATAAAATGGAGGGAAGCGTTCGTACGTCAAATTGGGTTCCCGCTTTTCTTCCCGCCATTTGAACTCTCGAAATTTGCTGCCCTCTCTCTCTCCCTCCCTGGATCTCCTATTCGAATATCCTATTCTCTCTGTAAACAGTGGAATACAGAGACGAAGATAGGGAAACAGAGAGGGGAAGAAAAGAATTCTGTTAGCTGCAATGGAGGAGAAATCCGACGGGCTGGAGATCGTCTCAATCGGCAAGCTTTACAGCGGTCCTTGGGACAAGAAGTATTGGAGCTCCTCTAGGGTTCGATTTTCCGTTTCCTTTCTATCTCTATACGATCGTCCCTCTTAGTTTATCGCTTCTTATAATTTCATATTTTGTAATGATTAATCATTAACTTTTCATAAGATATGAATTTTGGAGGGCAATTGAAGTTCAAAATCTCATATCATTGTGCAAATTGAACATATATTAGAAGAAAATTCTACTGTGCCTGCAGGAACTATACTAACAACGCACTTTTCTCTAGTAGTCTAGTACCATTAGCAATTCGAGAGGTACATCGCGTGTAGGCTCAAGGCATGGTCTTTGGCACCCTACGAGTTCTCTAAACTAAACACTAAAATTTCTCTATAATTCAGTGTTTCTAAAGCAATATTAGCTGTGTACGTTGTAATCTTGCTAGTTTGTTTATATATGATCTCCTCCCTCAATAAGATGGTGACACTTTTTTCTGAATTTGATACATTGTGTGCATATGTTTTGTGCTTAACCATATCTGTGCATTTTCCTTTTTGAGTTAATTAATCTTACCTTCAGCTAATGTATAATTTGTGCACAAGTATGAGTAGTATCAAATGAGTGCATGATGGACAAATTGTTACTCTTGATAGCTGGATTATGTGGAGAAAATGTATAAATGTCTGTTCTTGATAACTTTAGTCTTCTAAATGTGTTGCTTGCCTTCAAGCTGGAAAAAAAGAAGAATTGGTCATTGATCATTCATAGTTTGTTTTTAAGGGTTATGTTAACATCTGTCATCAGGAAACTGAAGTGTCATTAATCTACATATTATTGAAGTATTTGTTCCTGTTCGACTAAAATTTCAAGTTGTTAATAAGATATACACTTTTTAAAAAAAAAAAAAAATTATATTCATCCTCAACATGTCCCATTGAGTGTGCGCCACATTTTTTAATTTCATTTTGATGGGACAAATATTTGGAAATATTTTGATGATCTGTTTGTGTTTGAGATTTCGAACTTAGGACCTTTTCCCCTACTTGAATACCTTATTGAAGTATGTGTTCCACCTCATATAAAAGCTGAAGTTGTTAGTAAGGATGCATATTTATTATTTATATTAATCTTTAACACATATTACCTAATATTACTTTGTTTAGTTTTGCCTATGGACCTTCAGCTATGGATTTTGAAGTAGGTTTTACAGGTCCTCCAATTTTAAAATCTCAAAGATGATTTCTTAATTTTGCTCCTATCCAGTTTGCTATTTATATGCTTTGTATGAAAGGGCTATATCTATGCCCCTAGGAACTACCATATAAGACACAACTCCTGAGTCACAAGTGTATAGCCATATATTTGTCATGCTCTACATAATTTTGATTTATGCTTAACTTCATATTCTATTGTTTTTTCTTTTAGGGCAAAGACCGCTATCCTTATCCTGTTGGGTACAAAGCTTTACGTAATCAAAATGGAGTTACCTATAAAATGGAAATCCTTGAAGGCCTTAATGGGCCCCTTTTCATGGTGTGTTGCTATGATTCAACTGCTAGAAAAAATAGAAAATGCATATTGTTATTGATGTTACATTGAAGCCTGCCTTTTTCTCTCTCTTTCTCTCTGCACAGATTAGTTCTACAGATGGCCAATCAACTAGTGGGCAAACTCCTGATATTGCGTGGGAGTTCTTTCAGAAGAAAGGCTGTCCTCGAATAAAGTCATTGCCTGGGAAGAGATTCTCCTGTAAAATAGATGGTGTGGAAGTGAGTGCATAATGCTGACACTGCATGTAATTATTATACCTGAGTCCTTCTTCACTATGACGGTGTAAAGAGTTTTTTTTTTTTTTTTCAATGTGACTTTAGTGGAAAGTCATGCATTTATTTTTTAAATAAAAATGGAAGGGGTGCCGGCTATGTTCTGTATTCAGCAGAACTTAATGTACTAGCTGCCTCAATGTACTAATTTGTTTCTTCTCTTTCCGTTTGCTTTCCAGGTTTTTGGATTCAAAAATCCATTTGTTCAGAGGCTACTCAGGGAACTGGTGTCAGATATCAATGAAGCTGCAGAAAAGCTTTCGCCAAGGTCCAACTTCTCTAACAGTGTGGCTTTGCAGACTAACAATCAGAGCCAATGCATTGTATCAAGTGCATATCCCAACCTGCTTCTACACTTGGAAAAACCACAAACAACTGGAAAGAGAAGTAGGAGAGAAAAAACAATGAGTGTTAACTCGTACAGGAATACAGGTCTAAAAAAACATAGACACCAGGATAAAAATGATAACCTTGGTGCTTCACATTCTACTGGGAAGAGGCATGAACCAAGAAATAGTCAAAAAGTGTTGCCAGGGTCAATGGGACTCGAAAGTATAGTGCAAAAAGAAGAAAACCAAGTTTCAGAGGAGAATGTTTCACCTGTGGCACCTTCAAATACAAATGATCATCCTAAAGTGAATGGTCTCTTTTCCCAAGATGAAAACAAGTGTTCTAGTTTTGAAATTCAATTGCCCTTAGAAGAAGTGGGCATTTTGCCAAAAGACGGAAAACCTGTAAGTCTCTATCGTTACACTCCTTTTATGTTGCTTCTTAACTCCATTCTCAGTTAATAGTCTCTACGTTTCTCCCTTGTGACTACTCATCTTTCTAGTCTCCTTGTTGAAGATAATATAGAGTTAGGCCTTGAATTGGTCATTACTTACCTTTTCTCTCATTTGATCTTGGGTTAACCTAGTCCAGAATTATTGAGCATCATCCATTCTGGTTAAGCAAATGTTCTTAAGTTCTCACAGTCTGACAGGTCAGAAGTTTTCAAAGTTGAGGTGCCAAGTAACTCCTTCATAAAGGAAAATAATGAAGAAAAACAGGTCACAAACGGCTTGTGCTTAACAAATGATGCCAACCTTTACTCACATGATACCTTGGATGACCCAACAGGTATCATGATTAATAATTCATTTTCTACCTTGGCTCAACTATTTATTTCTATAACCTTTCAAATCTTTTCTATCTGTTGGCTTATGCAACATCTCCAAATTCTTATCCTCTTAAATTATGGTCATTACTTCTCGCAGCTGACTCTTTAAATCTTAATTCAACCGATGTGAAAGATGAAATAAGTGCTCCTGACACAGTCATTCCTAATGTTTTAAGAGCTGATTCACACACAAATGAATTGGGAATACCTAGTTCAAATGTAAGCTCAGCAAAGAGTGAGTTTGAGACATTTGATCAGGAAGTAGCCAAGTCAATGATGACAGTTTTGCTCCCTCGGGCACTTCCTCTGCTTAAGACATTCTCAAGGCGGAAAACGAATAGTGTAAAGCCCCCAGAAAAATCTACCCGCATGTCTCAGGAAGAAAATAAGACTGACCATGCCGCCGTCACATGTGGTATGTTGACCTCTGCACTTTAGGTTTAGTAATTACTGTTATCAATCCCCATTGTATTCTGATTGAATATTTCTCATCTGTACTATAATTTTATTCAATTGGATTTATTTATTTATTTTTGCTTATTTTTTGCAACATCTCAAAGTTAGCAAGCTTTCTCAGAACTCAGATTTGGAAATGAAGGAAAAGATTGAATTTCCTGCCAGAGGTCATGCTTCAGTTTTACCATGTAGTGGACATGCAGAATTCATAATTCCTGATAGTTTTGACAATGATGAGGGTGGATATGTTCCAGATACTGAACTACCTCAGTCATGTGAAATTGTTGAAGCTGATCAAAGTTCTCCAGATCTTTATACTAGACTATGTGAAACAAAGGTAGTACCAGATATAGTTGACTCAGAAGAAAATTCATTAGTTTCCCAAGATTTCCAGATGGATTTATGCAAGAATTCCAAAGAAGGTGAGTTTTTTGTTCATTTAACTTGATCTCGAGTTTGGTCCGAAAATTAAGTTAAATGAAAAATTTGTCCTAATTCATGTCAGGTATAATACCTGCTTGTATTTGATAGACCAGAAACTGATTTGTGGATCTAATTGAAACCAATGTCAAACGTTCATGAAAAAATTGAAATTGTTAAAACATTTTGACTGAAATAGTTGCTTAGTTTAAACTTTTAGGATTAAAAGTAGAATTTACTCTATGCCTTACGTACCATTTGACAGGGAATATGCACAAAGCAGGTCACACATATAGTAAATCATGCATACCTAACAAAATATTGCATTAATAGCTATCTGCTATCCTATGTATTGACTTTTTGATGTTTAAGGACTGCCATCTTTTATGAAATTTTGATCTGTAGTGTTAATTACTTAATTCTATAGAAGTCTCACACTAATTTCCCTGCAGAAGGCATTAGTTTCAAGATGTCCCAAATGTCCATTTCTTCCCTTGCTTCTTCCTGCATCTTTTTTCAGCATTGGGCATCAAACTTTAGTTTAGCTGTCAATTCTGAACATTTTATTTTATTTATTTGTTATTTGGCTGGGATTCTTTTAGGAGAGTGTTGGGGAAGATTTTCCTGCTTTCTGAGACTTATGATATTTTTCTATTTAGCCATAGACTCATTGGCTGGAAATTCATTTGTTTATGTTTTAGTTGAATTTAGCTCAGTAGGTAAAAATTCATATAATCAAATTAAACAGGATCTTTTTACTTGGTCGCTGTATATCTTTTGCAGAAAAAGTATACACTTTTTTGAGTATTTATGTGAATTGTTGAACAGACATGAGAAGCGGTACCAGCATAGCATGCAGGAAGGCTTATGTCCTGGCTTCAACAGAAAAAGTTCCAAACACAATAAATGGATGTGGGGTTGTCAGTAGTGAAACCCTCATTGCTGAACCAGTGCTCAAATGTGTTCATCTCTCAGAAAGTATCATATGCAGGGAGTTTAGAGATGACTGTGCTGCAGAGGAATGTGCTAAAGTGAATGCTTCAAATGCTATACACTTGTCACAAGGGAATGATCATGACCAGAGAAACGTAGTGGAAAGAAATTTATGTGGTAATGAACAAAAACTTGATGGCCCTTCCCTATGCTCCCATAATGAGGATAGAGTGGCAAGTACTAATGGTGTGCTTCATGACGTGCCCCCTACGTTGGAAAATCAAGAAAATAGTAGGATATTGGATGGTATTCATAATTCAGATGCTCATCCAACTAATTCATGCCAAGAAATATCTAAATTTAGTGCACCTGGAGAGCAAAATTTCGTTACTTCTCCATTGTCATATATGCAAAACCAAAGGATGGATACTTATGATGGTATGAATGAAGAGAAACATGACAATGATGATTCAGACTTCATTAATCATATGGATATAGAACATAATAAGAGCGAGATAAAAGGTGTTTTTAAGTTTGTTGCTTGCTATGTTCATCCGATGCCAGTTTCACTGGTACTTGTAACTACTGTGGAGAGAGAAATCAGTATATGTGTTTTATGTGGCCCCTTTTTGCAAAAGGAAAGAAAGCTTTTTATATACAAGGCACCCATGACCGGACAAGATGAGGGGAACCCTTCTTTTGTTGGCTATGCATCATTAATGTTACCATTTGATAGAGATGTAAGATAATTCTGACTTCTAATTTTCATCAGCTGTAGCTTTACTGCTCTGGTCATCATCTTATATATATATATTCTTCCTTTCTGTAGATTGATCTGGACAGTACTGCTTTGCAGTTTTCTCCTCATGGGCAATACCTTGTGTTGTTGAACAGTATAAAAGCTCCATGCTGCAGGTTGAATATCTTCAATAGAGGTATAAACTACATATCTGTTTGTGTACTAACCTCCTTGTAATGTTCTCAGGGAGGGTGACATATATTGTCCATGCCTCGCGTGCACATCAGATCTCGAGGATAATGCAGTAAAAATTCTGCAAATTAAAGATGGTTACACTTCTGTCATAGCTAGGCTACAATCAACAGAAAGTGTTCGTTGTATATTAGTCTGTAGACCTCATCACCTTCTTGCGGCTGATGACAGTGGGAAGCTGAACATTTGGTTCATGAACTCGAGATGGAGGTGACTGTTTCTGAACACTGCTTCAAATTCAGTTTGCATAATCCTTGCCATCTGAGGTTAATCTTAGTTGAAATTCAGGTTTGACTGTTAAGAGAACTAATAGTAAGATATTTGCTTTGACATACTTAATAAGTATCACCTGGATCTGTGGAGGTAATATGCCTCATGCCGTAGATTGCAGTAATTCTCATTCCCCTACATTCATTTACCAAGTACTGCATTTCAATAGTCAGAAATTCCTTGTGCAGAGAATTCAGTTCTTACATTTCTAGTCATTCTATCCATACTTTGTCATTCAATTTTTTTTTTTAAATGCATATATTGTTGCTTAGTACATTTAGTGATCTTTTCTTGCAAACTGGATAGTATTATGGACAAGTATAGGTGCAAGTCATCTTACTGATAAGTTGATAGGTTGAGTTATAAAGAGAGGATATAAAGATTGAGCATTTGAGCTTGACAAAATAAATCTTAATTAGGTCTTCCATGATAAAATATTAACATGTTCCATGATTTGATCTAACTTGACATCATTTATGAATGCAAGTTAATATCTTGAACAGTCAATGGTTTTTTAAGTTTGGTCCAAATTGAATAACCATCGATTTATTATTTTAAAACTTATTAAAGAAAAAAATGATTGTTCGCCATCAAACAGGTTATCTTTACATCTAATTCTGATGCTCAATATGCAGCAAGTCAACAGAAGAGTGCTTTGTGCAATCACCAAGTTGCATGCCTCCTTTAATGGAATTGAAGAGAATACCAAACTTTTTGCATTTGGTTCTTGGCCTTTATGGTTTTGGGGAGTTCATCCTATGGTAAATAAGTTTTCCTTACATTCTATTGTCTGAATGTTATGCAATGCACAATCTTTTTTTTTTTCTTTTTTTTTAATAATGCAGGACTCATGTGCAACAGTAGACGTTCCAAATAATATCCAATACCTTCTTTTTCTGTAAAATAATGTTTCATGCTGAAAAGATGCTGTTAATTCCAGTCTCTCTGTATTCCTGGTTGTTTTAATAAGATTGGTTTGCTCATGCGAAAATCAATGTGCATAGTGTGAGCATCTGGAAAGTTCTTATTATACCCCTTTTTATTGTTGCCAAGGCATAATGGTTTCCAATGATAAGATCTTGTGAGAACCCAGTCTCTCTGTATTATACCCCTTTAGTGTAGATTTATTTTATTATTTTAGTTTCTCTCCTGTTTCATGTAGGTGCATATTAATATTGACTCAGACCCATTTTTTGGTGTTTTTTTCTTTTTTTCATTTGTTTCCAGGGACATAGACAAGCGAGTTCTTGTATCCAAATTCTCTTCACGTACTTCAGTTTTTGGATGTGTTCCTCTTAGTCTGTTTACGTGGAAGGTAAAATGCAATATCTCTGTAGACCTGTGCACTGAGGTCCATAATGAAATCATGGAGGCCACAAAAGCATCATTTTCAGAAAAGGGCGACAACCAAGTTCTCAGCTACACAGAGGGTGACGAGGTGGTGGCATGGCTTCTGGTTTCGACTGCTCCAGATCTTGATAAACACAGGCACCAATCAAATCAGCAAAGTGACCCACTTGGAAGTTGGAGGCTTGCTTTACTGGTTAAAAACACTGTAATCATGGGGGATGTGCTGGAACCCAGGTACACAGTGCATAAATTTAGATCTCTCTAGAGACATACATTAGCTCAGAGAAGGATTATGTTTCATAATGTTTACCTTCTTCATATGATATTCTTATGCCATGTTCTCTACACATGGACCCTGCTTTAGATTCTTCATTTGAAGAGAACATTCTCCCTTAACTCTCTCAGTATGTGTTGTGCATGCCTGCATGCACACATGTGAGAATGTGGAGGGTATTATTAGGAGGTATGTAACCTGAGTCAGTAAGCCAAGCAGGCTATGAAAGTTTAATGCAATTTCTTGAAGTAAAATTTCTTTTGGAAGGCAATGATGGTATCATGTAATTTCTAAGAACAATGTTTTTAAGACTATAATAGCATAATAAAATACTCTTGTGTGTTTAAAATTCAAAGTTTTGGATAATAACTATCAACTACACTTTTCTCAGTGATTGATTAAGAGAAGATTTAATTTGACTCTCAGTTCATTTCTTTTACTTTATCACATTGAATTTCCCATGTCTCATAAAATTCAGTTTGTTGTAGAGCTGCAGCAGTTGGTGCCTCTGTTGGCCGCGGAATTATTGGTAGAAGTGATGGACAAGTCTACATGTGGGACTTAATCACTGGAACTAAGCTTGGTAGTTTGCATCATTTCAAAGGTAATTCTTTTCACTAGTAATGATTAGGTCTTTCACAAACTTAATCCCTGAACTCAGATGCATGATTATGTTTACTATTGACCATCATCTAAAAATAATCTATGTGAAATATCATTCTTTTTAAACTTCAAAATTAATGTATATTTAGACCATATTTTAACAAAATTTCTCTAGAACTCATTGATGATGTCGGAAATTTGGATCATGTTCGGCACTCCCTCTGTCCTATTTTATATTTTTATGTGTTTTGTTTGGTTAACGAAATTTGATTAAAGTTATTTTTAATTCAATTTTTTATAATATTAAGTTTAGTATTAGTATATAAATTTTATATGCCAAGGACCTTGTGGTCTAGTTGCACCAAGTTGTTTTCTCATATGGGAGGTTTGGTATTGACTCTTTGTATTTCAGTAGGTTTAGAAAGTAATCATGAACAGATATTGGATTGTAACATAGTCAATAGTAAGCAAAAAGAAATAATTTGACCAGTGAATAGCAAACAAGACAGGTGAAATGGGATAGAGAAAGTAGCTACTATCTTGTGACCCAATTCTTGAACAACCACGAATTCTCAAGTTTGCTACCTACTACATAATCACTTATCAATGGCAAAAAGATTTTAACTTTTTGAACATCTTGCATATCTTTCTTTTGTATTCTCAGACCAGCTAATATGTTGGGTAGATTAGATTCACTGAACTTTGAAATTTTCTTGTCAGATGCGTCGGTTTCAAGTATTGCCACAGATGATTCAGAGGCCGGTGCTTTGGCTATAGCCAGTGATGGAGGTGAGCTGCTGCTTTATTTGCCCACTTGAATGGATTTTGCAACTGAAGTCACTGAACTGGGCATGCATGGTCAGTGAACTAATCTGTCAGACACCACTGAATTCTTGATTTTAAGCCCTCAGCTACTAAAATTTTGATGTAAATTAGTATTCATACTGTTGTTGATAGCCACTGTTAAAAGACAAAACAATGTAAATAGGTTAATAAATATGCAATTCCTTGAATTCGTTTAAGGTTTCACAACTCCGTTGCTTGTCTTGGTTATATGATTTTTAGAATGTGATTTTAAGAAAGTTTGCCCGCCGTTGTTACCTAAAAGTGTGTTAAATTTGTTTTGTGGTCATTCGAATTACGAACGGATAGGTAAGCAATTGTTATATTGTGGACCAAGTAGAGCTCATCATGCAGATGTTAGCATACAATTAACAACTTAATTAAGTTTTGAAATGATTGACTTGTTAAAAATTCATTAGGTTTCATATTTTTAACATATCAACTCGTTAATATTAGTATGTTAACCCAGTGACCATTCTTCGAGTCTTAGGTTGTCCCCAATGGGTAACTTTTAGGGTGAGGTGGGAAAAAAAAAATTAATTTTCATTTTTTTTTTGTTTTTCACCGTGGGTTGCAAGCTTGCAAGTTGCAACCTGCAATTTTTTGTTGCCATTTGGTAGCATTTTGTCCTTTTTAAAAATAAAAATAAAAATTTAGTATTATTTAATTATTAGAAATATAATAATTTATTATTGTGATGTTAAAGTGAGATCATTTTTTAAAGTAAGAGTATTGTAACTTGTAAGGATGTAGAAAAAATAGTGAATGAAATTACAAATTTGATGATATGAAAGTAGGGCCCACTTTTGAAAATGAAAAAATATTTGAGGTATAAGAATGGAAAATACTACTTGTACTTTCAAATTTTACTCCCAACTTTTATCCCACCTCACACATCTTGGATGTAGATAATTTTTTATGTACCCACAAGATGAAAATGTCAAATCCATACTTGTTACATCAAAAAGTATAATTGATGGAGTAGAATTTGAGAGTCTCCATAGTAGAACTTGTATAAGAATAGCCTGTCTCGCCAGTGAGTTTGCCTATGGGAGAAAAAATCACGAACACAACTTGGTGGAGTATCACGAATTCATCTTAGTCTCTCTTTACTCCCCGCCATGCGAAATGCGAAATCTCTATTTCTTTTACGAAATACTCATGCGAATCAAATTTTATATTCACAGGTTTTGGAGTAATTCGTAAAAGAAAGAATGATTTCGCACTTTGCAAGTTTAGGAGTAAAGAGATGTCAATATTTAAATTACTGAATTGTCCATCTTTTTAACACCAAATGGACGGAATAACAAAAAGGATACTAAATTGAACAAAAACATAAAAATCTAAGACTACATTAAATCACCAAAATAATTTAGAACGAAACTAAGAAAAACAATTATAGTCAATAATCATTTTAGGTATTAACTAACTAAGTGTGCACACCAACACAAGTTTGTGCC